GGGGGGGGTTCTTTATTTATTCTATATTTATGACGAACGTTCTTCTGTTTGTTGGTTGAAATGTTTTTCTTTTGTAGTTGAAACTTGATTTCTCGGTGTTGGTTCACATCCACAGTGTTCATTTACTGCAGGTCTCACTTTAAACTGCAGAAAAGAAACTTTGATAGAATTTAATCTACGTTAACTTCAACGATTAGATTCTTAGCTGCAGTTTGTCGAAACGCTGAGGATCATGAAAACTTGGTTGCTTTGCTGTTTTCAGCTCGCTCCGTCGACAGGTTTGAATTTCTCTGGTTTATGAACAAAAAGCAGCAAAACTCATCATTTCAAACAACCTCAGCCGCAGTTTGTGTTCAGTGCTAATTAGCAGCATGCTAACACACTGAACCCTGCCTCCTCCATGTTAGCAGATGGGACATGGACCAAACAACAAGCAACGCTCCGATTGCAGAGCGCTCATGTGGTTTGCATCCAGGATATTTTAGCCTCTTTTTCATTCATTGTCAGTATTACAGTAAGATACAACAACTTTATTTTTATAGCACTTATTAGAACAAGGTTGCAAAGTGCTTCACAAAAATCTTCCTATTCACGAGCTCATTTAAAACAGTTTGTCTAATTTGCTCATTTTGTCAAAGTTCAATAATTACAAGAACTCTGAGACGTGAAGACACTCGGCTGAGTTCAGAACAAAACTCAGACTCAAAGGTTTTCTCGTCCAAATGTGAAACAATGGTTGTGCTCCTGAGGTTGTGTTTAAAGGTGGTGTTGTACATTATATTCTGATTCATCCCTGTCAAAACACATGACGGGGGCAGAATATTAGGAACACCTCTGAACACAATGCAACGTAACGGAGGTAAAATGACCTGTAGCCTTGTGTGATGACAGAACCTGAACTAAACACAGTCACGACCTGCACCAGCTGAGAGACGACGTTACATCGTGTGAAGACATTACCTTTGTGTTGTTGTGGGGGGGGGGGCGTGGTTCAGCTACTTTTATGTGCTGCATTTTGTTTTGCTTGTTTCAAATGTTTTTTAAAGGTGAATAATTTATTTCCTGGCAAAAATAAAGACAATTCTAAACAGAGAGATTCCTCTTTTCTTTCTTCTCGTCATCTCCAGAGTCGCCGAAGACAAGAGACAACAGATTTTTTTATTTCAGTTATTGATGAAAGTGAAACAGATTTGTAGAAAATGTCCTGCAGCTCTTTGTCTCTAATTAATCAGGTAAAAAACACGAGGAGAATTTTCCATTTTATAATTAATTAATGACTCAGAACTTAAAACACTTCCCTCCGGAGGTCTTGAAACTTTAAAGAAATAATAATGTGACATTGAACGTGAAAATTATCGATGTTTACGGATATAAACATTTTAATCTGGATGTTTTTTAGTGCATCGTCAAAAAGACATTGGTGGTTCCCAGAGGATACACCACCTCAGGTACACTTAAAGGGACAGTTCACCCCAAAGTGTGAATTCACTCATCATCTCGCGGGGTGAAGTGTTTGAGTCGCATCGAGGTGAATTTTCATTTTTCAGTGAACCATCCCTTTAGCAGCTGAGGTTCGAGTCCAGGGAAAACACGTGAGAGCCGAAAACATCGAACTGCTCCTTGAAACAACAACGTCTCACTTGCTTTGGTCTGGGGGGGGGGTCACTCCTCCTTCCTCTGGTTTTACTCGTGTTTCCCGCGGCTGTGTTTCCCGTGGTAATAATTCAACACACGTGGTTGTTTTCCTTTATTTATCTCAGTAAAAACAAAAACACGTGTCCGAACATTTGACTCGAGATTCGAACATTTGTTCCTCATCAACCCCCAATAAAGAGATGGTACCGTCCACTCCCCCGGAAACGCCGGCGACAACTGAGCTCCCGGAGAAGAAGAAGCAGGTGGAGCCGGACCCCGAGAGAGAAGGAGAAGAAGAAAGAGGAGAAAGTGAGTGATGGGAGGAGGTGAAGCTTCTCCTCCTGGTGTCTGGGATTCAAACAAACCGAACATCCACCTTTTACCCCCCGTGCGCGAGCCTCAGCTGCTGTTGACACATGAGCTAACGTTAGCATCGTAGCTCTGACACCCGCCGACACAACAAACAAAAGAAGGTTCCCGGCAGAGCAGAGGCGGGATTCAAACCAACAACCCGCGGGTTCTCTTCCGGTCAAAGTTTCTCCGGTGGAGGATCCGCCGACACCCGCGAGACCTGACCACGATGTGGAGCAGACGTCACGCTAGCCTCGTTAGCCTCGTTCAGCTAGCATCAACGCATCAGTCTCAGCTGATTGAGTCACAACTGACCCGGGATCAGACTCAGAGGACTGGTTGTTACTGACGTTAGTCTAAGTTAGAGTCTTTATTAAATCAGAAACAGTCACAGTGAACAACACACGAGAAAACACGAGCAGCAGCAGCAACAGCAACACGAACTTAGATCGATTCAAACGGTCACGAGCCTCAAAGAAACTCAACCTGTGTCTGAGGAGAGTTAGTTCATCTGTCTGTTGAAGGTTAGTTAGATAACTGAACCCAGATCTGTTAGATAACTGAACCCAGATCTGTGACTGGATCTTTGTGTACATGAGTCCTCAACGGACTCAATCTGAAAACACGTTAAAGCAGCTGAAATAACCAACGGTGGTTTATTTACTTCATTCATCTGTTTATTTGTTTATCTGTTTATCTATCCATCTGTTTATCCATCTGTTTATCTATCTATCTGTCTGTTTATCTGTCTATCTATCTGTCTATCTATCTATCTGTTTATCTATCTATCCATCTGTTTATCTATCTATCTATCTGTTTATCTATCTATCTATCTATCTGTTTATCTATCTATCTATCTATCTGTTTATCTATCTATCTATTTGTTTATCCATCTGTTTATCTATCTATGTATCTATCTGTTTATCTATCCATCTGTTTATCTATCTGTCCATCTGTCTATCTATCTATCTGTTTATCTATCCATCTGTTTATCTATCTGTTTATCTATCTGTCTGTTTATCTGTCTATCTATCTGTTTATCTATCTATCTGTCTATCTATCTGTCTGTTTATCTATCTATCCATCTGTTTATCTATCTATCTGTTTATCTATATGTTTATCTATCTATCTGTTTATCTATCTGTCTGTCTGTTTATCTGTCTATCTATCTGTTTATCTATCCATCTGTTTATCTATCCATCTGTTTATCCATCTGTTTATCTATCTATCTGTCCATCTGTCTATCTATCTATCTGTTTATCTGTTCATCTGTGTGATGTCCTGCTTGTGTCTCCTCACAGGAACACCCTGCTCCAGCTGGACCTACAGTAACAGACACACTGGACAAGCTTGTATGTAGTTGATTCATTTTTATTAAATATAATCCAGCATTTATAAAAAGTAATGTCTATATATGAATGTGTTCATCTCATGTGTCCTGCAAATGTTTTAACTGAGGATTTAATGTCTTCTGTTGTAGAATCTCTTGGAGTTGAATGGACACGGCAGCCAGAAATACACGGGTACGACCTTCATCCACCACATTTTGTCTTTATGCACATGATCCATCACTGGGTGTTGGATGTTACATCACGACTCTCTAACGACATGTGATCTCTCCCCCTGTGTGTAGCCCAGCTAGTGAAGCCAGTCAAAGGTTCAGTGATGCCTGTGAAGAAGAAGAGAAAACTCCCCGACGCAGATGATCATGAGCACAAGTGTAAAATCACAAGGTAAACACGACACTCACACATTCGGGCTTCGGTGGTCGTCCGTCTGCGTTGCATCAAATCTCCACTCAGGGGCGCCGCAACAGGGTCTGCAAAGCATGCTACTGCCTGGCCGCAGCTAATGGGGGTGTGGGTGAACAGCTGATTATGTTAGTCGTCAGAAGTCTGATCAGCTATCCACAGGAGACCGCAACGACTCCATGGTGAGATACCCCCTAACCCCCGTGTTTAGTTCATTCCTAACCATACCGGTGAATTTATATAAATATAATTTTTACTCTTCACACAACGTCTTTGCGGGAAACCAACCGAGTGCAGGACTCGGGTTTGGTTGAAGACTAGAACGTTTAAATGTTTGTATGAGTTCCTTTTGCTTTGGGCCCACAAAGTCCCTTGAAACGCTCCTGCCTCCACTCTCCTGTTTTGTGTCTCACTTTTGTTTGAGGTGTGTGAGTCAGTCTGGGTCCTGTGTGTGTTTTGTGTCGTGTCCACTGAGTAAGAGGCTCTTTGCTGAGAGGACGAACTCTGGCTGAACCTGCAGGCGCCTGAAAAAGCTCTGGCAGGGTTGTCTTTCACCTGGAAGTGGGTTCACTGAACCCCCCAACCCCCACCCTTCTCAGTTCCCTCTGCTGAGTGCATGTGAGGAGATAAATGTGGACTGTTGCACTTAGAAAGCAGGAAGAAAAATGTCGTCCGAGCACATTCAGTTTATTAGGAACACCTAGATTTGGATGTAACACTCCTCTGATCTCTACCTGAACATTATTAAACACTTAAAGACTTTTCTGTGAAACCAACAAAAGAAGAAATGAGACTTTCTTCCAACTGAAAACTAAAAAAGAAGATTAACAGCCACAGCTTCACGTGGTGTGTTGTGATGAGCAGCGTCTCACTGTGTAGCTTTGTCCCAGTAGCTGCTGTCACACTGACCTTATGTGTTAAATCACCTGATGCCTGATGTTGTTTCTTGTATTTTAAAACTTTGTTGCAGTTTCACTCGACCTCAGATCCGCGGAGCGAGGCCGATCACCGGCGACAAACTGTTCTCCAGCAGGAAGTGCTTGGCCTGGTTCCACAAGTACGCTGGCGCCGACAAGGTGGTGGATCCAGAGGCCATGGAGAAGTTCTGTGAGGATATCGGTGTAGAACCAGAGAATGTGAGTCGCCCTTCCAAGCGTCTCGGGTCACACTGAGGAATCACAGCGACCATTAACCCAGAACTAAAAACACCACAGTTATTTCTGAAGCTTCCTGTTCTGACTCTCACAGAAAGAGAGGAACGACTCCTGGGAACGTGTGACACTGCTGTTTCGTGACACATTTGCAAATTAGTAAAATATAAATGTTGGCAGCTGCACTTTGCAGATTTTAGTTGATATTTTGAGAAAGAAATGTTTATTATGTAAGACTGTCCACCAACCCTGTACGTTTCTCTGTGTCTTGCAGATTGTCATGTTAGTTTTAGCGTGGCATCTAGAAGCAGCAAATATGGGATTCTTCACAAAAGAGGAGTGGCTCAGGGGAATGACAGTATTACAGTAAGATCTTTTCTATTTTAAATAAAGTAAAATACGAACTGAAACTCACAAACATACAGATGAGATTTTCCTCTGTCTGTGGTCGTCAGTAACCTGAAACAGTTTGTGTATTTCACAATGTGCTCGTCCTCCTGCAGGTGTGACTGCACGGAGAGGTTACAGAGTAAACTGGATTACCTGCGCAGTGAGCTCAACGATTCTGTCGTCTTCAAAAACATCTACAGATACGCCTTCGACTTCTCCAGAGTGAGTTTGACTTCCTCGTTTTGAGCATCACAGTTTGCACATTTTAAGTAAATCACTAATGTGAGTGAAACGCCACTGAACTGTTTAAGTCACATTCCTTCAAAGTCACACAGGTGGTGATGTTGAGCTACAGTTTGACTTGTGTGCTGAGGTGTAGAACTGTGATGATTCTTGTTTCCTCTGTGTCTTTGTCTCGTGTTCAGGACAGAGACCAGAGGAGTCTGGACATGGACACAGCAAAGACTATGCTGGCTTTACTGCTGGGGAGAACGTGGCCTCTGTTCCCCATCTTCCACCAGTTCCTGGAGGTAAAAAGCAGAGAAAACTCTTCCTCAGTCTTCACATCGCTGTGTTGCTTCCTCACTGCCCCCCCCCCTTATTCTCCTCCCCCACAGCAGTCCAAGTACAAGGGGATGAATAAGGACCAGTGGTACAACGTCCTGGAGTTCAGCAGAACCATCAACACAGACCTCAGTAACTACGATGAAGACGGAGCTTGTGAGTTAACGCGTCCAGACGTATTCCAGAGTTCATGTCTGAAATCCTCTTGTATTGATTTAACTTGTTCTTTGTCTTGTCAGGGCCAGTGCTGCTAGATGAGTTTGTGGAATGGCAGAAAACTTGGTCAGCATCGTAGCAACCACAAAAACACCAAAAAGGAGGAAGAGGGAGAAAAAACAGAAACCACAAACGCAAGAGGAAAAACAGCTGAACACACACACACACACACACACACACACACACACACACACACACACACGGACTGGAGAATCAACGCTGTGGACTCTGGGTACAGTCACGTCCCATCAGAGATCGTCTCTGTTCATCGTCAGCCAACTGTTGTCAAGAGGCCTTTCTCTCACAGAGTAGACTTTTTAAATACGGTTAATTTGGAAACGAGAAACTGAACGAAGAAAACACAGAACCAAAAAAAAGAACTGAGAGAAGAGATGTGGAATTTGTTTTCTTGATAATTATTTTTTCCCCATTTTGTGTATTGTTTATAGATGTTTTCACAGTAATAAAAGAGGAAATTGAGATGTGACGAGCTGCTTCTTGATAATTACGACCAACTAACCAAACACTTTGTAAATGAATCAACAGCAGCTGACGGAGACGTCTCTCGTCTGTGACGCAGAGTTTGGTCTCTAGAATAAAGATGGACGACATGACGGCTCCAAGTGAAGCCTTGAGTGTCTCGACCGCCCCCTGGTGGCTGGTTAGAGTACAGGTTATAAACGCTGCCTCCTCATGTTAGTGGATGTGACCAGAGTAAACATCACATCGAGTTGTTTGAGGTCGTTCTTCTCGAACTGTTCAACTTTCAGCTGATTAGAATCTGGAGGTCAAAGGTCACAGTGACATGAACCCACCACTGGCACAACTTTTCACAAAAGATAAAAATAATTTGTAGAAACAACAAACTACTCAACATTAAAGTCCACGTTTAGTTTATTTACAGTTTTGTGTCTGTGTCATATTTCCATGTGGAAGTGCGTCTTGTCTCCGGCCTCCCCCCTTGTCTCCGTCCCGTCCAGTGGCCCTGCTGAGGCGGCGGCCATGATTGCGTTGAGGCGTGTCAGAGAGAGGGAGCGCTGCTTCAGCCTCGGGGCGGGGACCGGCTCATCGGGGGCGGGGTCAGGCAGGTGGCAGTATCGCTGGCCGTCCTCGTCGTACTGGTACAGACGGATGACGCGGCTGCGACGGGCGGAACGGGGCGGGGAGGACGACGCCTCTCCTCCTCCCATGATGCCTTGAGTGTCCGCTGATGTTTTCCTGTCCATCTCTTCTTCTGTCTCTGATTGTTGAGGAGTGTCTTTGTCCATTTCTCCATCGTCTCCCTCTGTCTCATCTCTCTCTTCTTCCCTGCTTCCTTCCGTCTCCTGCTCACTTCCTCTCCTCTCTTCATCCTCCCTTCTCCTATTCTCATCCTCCCTCCTCCCATTCTCCGCTCCATCATCACTGTACTTGTCTTCATCTCTTTCACTTTGACTTCCTCCATTGTCTCCTAACAGATAAAAACCCGTGACCTCTCTTTCCTCCTCCTCTTCTTCCTTCCCTTCTTCCTTCTCTTCCAGGCTTCTTCCTTCCTCTCCCTCCCCCTCTATCCCTCTCTTCTCCTCCCTCGTGTTGTCACATCCCTCCAGATAGACAGCGGTTTCTTGCTGCTCCTCTCGTTTGAGTCTGAAGCTTCTCTGAGGTTTGACAGGAGGTGATGAGGCTGTTGCCGCCTCCACGGTTACGCCGTCCCACACCTGTCCAATCCCAAAGGCCTCGTTGTCGTACACAGATGGCAGTGTTGTCATGGAGACCTCAGAGTCACGGTCTGGCATGTCAGGTTGGCGTAGTGATCGTACCTTTTCAGTGATCGCCCCCAGACACCTGAGAGGAAGGAGATTATATTTATCATCAGCAATTATTCCGTCTTTACATCTCCAGAATAACTGAACGGAGAACGTCTGAGTGTGTGAACCACAGCTGCTGCTCAGGGTCCTGAACGTACCTGAGAACTCGAGCTCTGGTCAGAGCTCCAGCGCTGAATCCCAACACGAACGTCAGCAGCACTGACGCTGCCACAGCTCCTGCAAACTCTCCGTCTGAAACTCCCGCTGGCTTTTCTTCTTCCACTGACGCCGCGTTTCTCCTGATCCTGAGCGTCCTGCAGCTGCTGTCTTGTTCTTGGTTCTCCTGTTCTTGGTTCTCCTGCTCTTGGTTCTCCTGATGGTAGGAACCAACGTGGAGCTCGTATGGCCACAGTGTGGTTCCCTCTGTGTGCTGCAGGAGGCAGTAGTACAGGCCGCCGTGGAGGCTGCTGCTCCTGGGGACCACCAGGCTGCCGTCATGGTGCATGAAGACAGGGGCCAGTTCACTGTGAAGTCCAGGGGCCCGCAGCTCTCCAAAGGGGGTGTGCCAGTACTGGACCACGCCTGCACACGAGAGGAGGCGACGACAGGTGAGATGTTAGAGAGCTGCAGGTGTCGCTCCACAGACGGTAAATAAAGATGAACATCTACACTTTCTCCCACTGGGGGGGGGCATGGTATCAAGGCCCCGCCATTACACACACTCAACCAATCAAGAGTCAGTGTCAGCTGTCAATCATAACTGACCTGTGTTTTCTCCGTGTCCACAGTTTAAAGTCAGCTCCACCTCTGGATGACCTCTGACCCTGCAGGTCGCAGCGACGGTCAGGGGCCCTCGGTCTGTAGCTGCCGGACTCGCTGAGGCGACCAGAAGAGCTGCGACAGTGAACCAGCGGGTTAACATCTTAAATCTGCAGAGGAAAGGACGAGTCAGGTTTTTATTAGACAATGAGAGAACCTGTTTAATTAAACACATCACACTGATTCTGATGATTGATTTAATTTTATGTTTGTAAAAAATACTTTACAGGATGATTTTCATTGGTTGGTTTTTGGAATGCTCCTCAATTACAGCTTTCAAATCCAAATGGAAAACTTTCAATCACAAGCACCTTAAACTAAAACTGTAAAACTCTCAGGACGTAACACCTTTGTATTTTATTATTTTACACATTTAATTAGTTTTTAAAATTTCTATCCAGATGTCTTTTTTTATCTCTTTACTTCTTTTTGTTCTTTTTAATCTTTTATTTAGATTGAAAGTTGCTGTAAACTCAGATTTTAAATTGATTTCTTTGACTTTTGTCTGAGTTTAATGTCCTTGAATCTACGTCTGTGTATGAAACCTGCTTTATAATTCAAACTGTTTTGAGCCTTAAACTTAACTTAACTTAAAGTCAACAGTTCATGTTTTAATCCTATAATCAGTGACACAGGTTCCAGAAGTGATGAGTGAATCAGGTCGTGAGATGTAAATGATGCTGCAGATCGTCTCTGTGATATTTACCTGACGTGACGGTCGATATGATTTCTCTGAAACGCGGTTGTGTCGTTCTTCTCTTGTGTGAACGCAGACGATCGTGTCAGTGTTTGTCGCCTCTGGCAAAGTGTAAAGTGCAGTTTCTCACATGACACAGTGGATGTCGTCTCCTGTGATGATGTTAAAGATTAATCACCTCTCAGACACAGTCGCCTGCTTCCTGTGAAACACTCGTAAAGTCGTTTCAGGCTGAATAAAGTGGAACCTAATGAACTGAGGTCGGACACATTTGTCTCTTTCAGTGAAAATGACTCGGAGCTTCTCTGTTAAAGCAACATTAGTCATCTGAGGCACTGCCCTCTAGTGGTGACTCACAGGGACTGCAACAAACATGAGTGTGATTTGCATCCCAGTGACTGTTTCTGCAGAATCATTGAACAAAGAGGTTTTCATCAACAGACCGACTCTCCTCAGACCTAACGACACCAGCTGAGCTCCTCTCTGCAGGTTTATATAGTTCGGCCAGTCCATAGATTGTTGCAGGGGAGAAATCACAGTCCTCTTTAAACCACTGTGGCACAGATGAAGGTGGCTCCTGAGAACTCCCCCGTCAGTCGACAGCAGGATGGTACAGTCCAATCAATCTCCTCTACTTAAGCTGTGGTGCTGCAGCAGTTCGGTGTTTGCCAGGTTGTCAAGAGGATGGTGGACAAGACTCTGACAGGAAGGTAAATTCAAAATTAAATGTTTATGTTTACCTCATTAAATTTAACTAATTGTCTTCACTTCACTGGTAAATAAAGTGAAAACATCAGCTTTAAAGTGCAGCAGCTGTCAGGAATAGAAATGTTTGAGTCTCATTCAACTGGGAGTTGATGACTCATGATGTTTTAGTTTGTTGCCTCCACAAAGGAGCTTTAGTTTTTTCACAATGCTCCTTGAACGTCTCCAGTGATTGTTTGAATATTTTAGGCCCTGCAGAGTCGAGCTGCTCAATTTAACTGGGAACTCTTCCCATGTTCTCTTTTGGTAGTTTTTCCTTCCTCTTGTTGAGAGTTAAGAACAGAGGATGTCTCGGCTTGTTAAAGCCCTATGAGACAAATTGTGATTTGTGAATGTGGGCTAAACAAATAAATCAGATTGATTGATAAAGTCAACGCTGGACTTTCTGTGGTTTCATTCAACATGAGGCTCCAAACATTCAAACCCATGAGATGAGAGAACGGACACAGGGAGAGAGAAGCTCAGTGAGGTCGTGTTAACTCGCTCACATCATTTCAGCAGAAGTTTCTAGAGACAAAAGTTTCCCTGGGTTTGGTATCAAATCTCTCTGGAGCCAGATTCAGTTGTTCCTGTAGTTACTGCAGCATCCAGCAGGGGTCAGTGCTGTACAATGCTTTCCCTCTGAATCTGTTTCCTCCCGTTTGTTCATGTAAACGTTTTATTTATTTCTTGATTAAAAGCTGAATCATTATGTTTAGTTTCTACATTTCTAACAACAAGTTCAAATTAACCAGGTTTGTTCTGTCACTTAACTTTAATTATGCTTTGTCCGTGCTGCACCTGAAGGCATCGTTCAATCCGGCGCTGCCTTCAGGGGAGTGTGGGAGTTTTTCAATCCCGGAGCCGGAGCCCCTCCCGCGGTTGTGATCTTTGTGTGTGTCCGTGAAGTGAGTGTAGTTCATGAGGACACAACGAACATCACCGAGGGACACACACAGACAGAGAAACACCGGGACAACACCGGGAGGACACCCGGAAACACCAAGCATCATCACCCGGGAGCAGCAGCGTGTTTGTGTGTGTGTGTGTGT